TGTTCTTCAAAGCTCTCTTACCCTTAGGCAACTTTGTCAGGTCAAATGTGTGATTGTCATACAAAGATTGCATCTCATCTTCCATAGCACCAACCCAATGTGCTCTGTTTTCATCTTCCATGGCTTCTGCATAACATTGAAGCTCTCCCTCATCTATCAATAATACATGCTCATTTGCATCATACCGTGTGGAAGGACGTCGATCTCTGGTAGACCTTCTAAGTGGAATTTCTGGTTTTTGCAACTGATCAATAGTCTGATGATCTGTCTCGACCTGCATAGGAGCATCTATATCATCAGTACCCTGTTGATCATCTTGGGTATTTTCCGTCTGTGCTGATAAAGGAATCGGATCCAAGTCAATCAAAACATCATTATTTTGATGTAAACACAACATCACGACTCCTAACTAGCTTCTTATCAACTGAATCATATAATCTGTACCCAAATTCATCTAGACCATAACCAACAAAGATGCATTGTCGTGTCTTCACATCAAGCTTAGACTTCTTGTCTTTTGGGATGTGCACAAATGCCTTGCAATCGAAAACACGCAGATGATCATAAGAAACATCTTTGCCAGTCCAAACTCTGTTTGGAACATCAAACTGAAGAGGAACACTTGGTGTGAGATTAAGAACATGTACAACTGTATTCAAAGCCTCAGCCTAGAAAGATCTTGGCAAATGAGCCTGCAAAAGAAGACATCTTACTCTTTCAACTAGAGTCATGTTCATTCTCTCAGCCAAACCATTCAACTGAGGAGTCTAGGGAGGTGTTTTTTGATGTCGAATGCCTTGATGCCTGTAGTACTCATCAAAAGGACCTAAATACTCTCCCCCATTATTTGTTCTGATGCATCGCAATTTCTTCCCAATCTGTCGCTCAACTAGAGCCTGAAATTGTTTGAACACGTCTAACACTTGATCTTTACTCTTCAAAGTGTACACCCATAACTTTCTTGAATAATCATCTATGAAGGTCACAAAATAACAGGCACCCCCCAGAGTTCTTGTCTTCATAGGACCACACACATCTGAATGTATTAGATCAAGTATACCACGTTTTCTTGAAGAAGGGGAACTGCTGAAAGAAACTCTATTCTTCTTCCCTACCAAGCAATAAGTATACTTTTCCAAATGTGGATCATTCATACCAGAAAGAAGATTCTTCTTATCCAATACTATCAAGCCTTTATCGCTTATGTGAGCAAGTCTCTTATGCCACAACTCTGATGTAAGATTATCTTTCACAGCATTAATAGCGTCTTGTGAGAGTCTCGCTTGTAGTATATACAAGCTAGAATGCTTGTTTCCACAAGCAACAATCATAGCACCTCTATTAAGTTTCCACTAACCATTACTGAAGGTGTTGCAATATCCTTCATCATCAAGTTTACCTGTAGAGATCAATTTCAAACGAATGTCAGGAATATGCTTTACCCCTCTAAGAAGTAGCTTCATGCCCACAAGCAACAATCATAGCACCTCTATTAAATTTCCACTGACCATTACTGAAGGTGTTGCAATATCTTTCATCATCAAGTTTACCTGTAGAGATCAAATTCAAACGAATGTCAGGAATATGCTTTACCCCTCTAAGAAGTAGCTTCATGCCATTGTTCATCTCCAATACCATCGACTTTGGCCAAGCCATCATTGCCCATCTTTACTGTACCAAAGTCACCTACCATGTAGGATGTAAAGAAGTTCTTTCGAGATGTGGCATGAATGGAGGCTCCACTATCAATAACCCAACTGGTCTCATGACATGCAACATTGACAACATCATTTTCATAAACAACAAGAAAGTCTTCAGTAGAAGTGGTGGCAACTCTATCATTTTCCTTGTTATCACCACCCTCTTGTTCTTTGCCTTTCTTCTTGTTCTCCCATTTCAACTGTCTACAATATTTCTTGATGTGTCCTTTCATGCCGCAGTGATGACACTCAACATTAGCAAACCTGTTGGACTTACTTCTTCCTTTATCTTTGTTCTTGGAATCTTTGCTCTTACTTTGCCCTCTTCTTTCTGTAACCAAAATCTCTAACTACTGAGAAGACCCATGCGACTTTCTTCTCGTTTATTCATTTAAAATACTACTCTTAGCCAGATTCATATTGATTATACCATTCAGAGCTGAGTTGCTCAATGACATTCTGAATGTCTCCCAATCGTCTGGCAATGTACCCAATAGATACAACCCCTGAATCTCATCATCAAACTTGATGCCCATTCTAGCTAGCTGATTAATTATACTTTGGAACATATTCAAGTGATCTGTCAATGGAGTTCCATCTCGATACCTTAAAGCCATCAACTGTTTGATGAGAATCATTTTATTATTTGCCGTTTTTCGGGCATACAACTGTTCAAGTTTACTCCAGAGTGTCTGTGCATGTGTTTCTCCACTAATATGATTCAAAACATTATCATTTACCCACTGCCTTATATACCCACAAACCTGTCGATGTAACAAGGTCCATTGTTCCTCAGACATATTATCTGGGTTCTTAGTGGCAAACACCGGTAAATGAAATTGTTTAACATAAACGAGATCTTCCATTTTTCCTTTCCAAGTGTGGTAGTTTGCACCATTCAAAGTAATCATTCTACTCAAATTAGCTTCCATATTCAACACAAGATATTCAGTAACAATAACCACAAGCTCTAATACCACTTTGTTGGGAGAATCATGAAATCAAGCAAACTCTAACCAAGTTCCAAAAATAGCGAAAATAATATTTTTCTCCATCTTTGTGTGAATCTATTAGAAAACAATTTAGTAGAGCTTAAAACCAAAAAACAAGATCACAAGAACACAATCAAATTTACGTGGAAAAACCTTCCCAGTGTAGGAAGATAAAAAACCACGGTCACCAAAAACTTCCACTATCAAGAAAGTGATTGTGCAAGTGTTTTCTCTAGATAAAACTAGGGGCATACAATCAGCAAATCATCAAGAAAATACATTCCTTGGAAACTAACAAATGTCTCAAGAATAGAGAAATCTCACCCAAAATAGAGGTACTGTTCACGGACTCAGATCTCACAAACCAGTGAGCCATACCAGATCTCCACCGTTCAGATTGAAGAACCTTAAGTCGCGAACATGCCTGCAAAATTTCATCTCAATCGGACCACAAACAACCTTCGATTGAAGCACAAGATGAAAACTGTGCTTGCTGGAATTTGAAAAGTCTACTCCTTTTCTCTCTCTGTTTTTACACGGGATTCTCTTCCTTTCTCTCTAATCTTCCCTATCTCTTTCTTTGACTATTTTCATTTGGGAAAAAATACCCTCATCCATGGGCTCAAAAATACCACATGGGCTTCTTGGGCCATCCTCCACATAAGAGGGAAACCCAACAGACACATGGCAAGCGATTGTTGGGTGAAATTCCCCCCTATAAATAGAGGCTGACGGGAACATTTAGGGCCTATCTAGATCTGTAATTAGTTTATAGTACAGAAGATTGATCTGGGGTCACTTAGAGAAGCTTATCATGTGATAAACTATACAAGATTTGTAAAGGTTCCCTTACCTTTCCCCTTCTTTCCCTACTTTTTCCTTCAACATATAAGACTAACAAACCAGTCCCCATTTAATATATAGATGTACATAGTAATCTTATATGATGTTAGCATAGAACTATATGAAATAATAATAATGTAGCGCATATACAGTACATAAGTACACGCAGATAGAGGCCCAAAGCAGGACGGGCTGGGCCTGCAATTTCCTGTAACCCGAGAGAACTTCTTGCCAACCAAATCCTGGGATTAGGCCTTTTGGACCTTGACCAAAATAACATTTTTCTTGAAATGAAACTGGAGCTCTATTTCTTCTACATGAACGAAAAAGAGAGCTGGATCTGTTATTTGCACCATTAGTTGAGTGTAAGCAGCTATGTAACCAATCACGAGTGAAGACACCAGTGAGGAAAGGATCCTCTACTGGCTTAATGATATCATGCCAATTGATTGAGTTGTGGTTCAGCATTCAAAAAGACATGATATCAGAAGAGCTCTGACCAGTCAAAACCTGTGAATTTTGATGAATACCGCCTTAACTTAAAATAAATTATCATGGTATCATTGGGTATCAGCTTGAAGAAGATTCAGAGCCATCGATTTGGTTGTCAACATGAGTCTGTGATTGTAATAAGTTGCAATATTAGTCTACTTAAAAGAGAAGGCCCAAGCTGTTTGGTTTGATAGATAATAAGAGAGAGAGAGAAAGTTGAGGGAAAAGTTTCTCAAGGAATTTCTCTCTAAAGGGAAGCGACCAAACATTATCAAATTCACAAATTTATTATAGATGATTATTCATGCATAATCAAAAAGGAAATTTATACATACTGCTATATTTTAAGTTGTGGGTCGGTGCGTCCAAGATTTTCTTCTTTGATCTAACTTCTCTTTGTCAAAAATACCCCTTATTAGGTACCAAATCAAGCAGATTAAACTAAATACCTGTAATTTTTTATGGGGCAGCGCCATAATTTCTCTTTAGAGATTCTTTTTAATTTCATTATTTATTTCCATCCTCCTACAGAAGTACAGATGCGTGTTTGGATTTAAAATGAGCCTTTGCACGGATTTCTCCTCCAATTGCGTGTTAATAACTCACGAAAGTTTTAAAATTTAAAACATTATCTTTACCTATTACGTAATAAAATCAGAAGGCATTTCGAGGCACAGCCACAAGAACTACAGACTCCTATGGCATTGAAAAACGAGTAATAAATAAATAAATAGAGTTTTTTTTATTATTTATTTATTTATTTTTGCAAAGAGGAAACTTCATTAGATTAATCTCAAATTAAGTAATTTGAAGGACTCATGGTCATGGAATCCAAACCGAACGCCTGGAGGAAATAAAATAAAAAAAAAATTGCACCGTGATTATAAAATTGAAGAGACGTGTGGAGTGGCCGCGCTTCAGATGAAAATTAAATGAAAAGAATTATTCTTTAAACTTGAAATACAGTTGCTACTAGAATTCAAATGTCACCAGCGATTAGTGAACATGGCAATCTAGCGAGATTTCATTATTATCGTAATAATCTCCAGTTTGAAAACCTAGACAAGCACTGAACAAATCGATATAATTTTCGATAACAATAAATCCAACAGGTTGCAGAGAGTAGCCGTTAACGTTGGACATCAGTTAACGAATGCGCAGTGCTTCCTGATTTCACCTGCAGTGCCTGTAAGGACTCCAATGTTGCCCATGTTAACCATGGACACCCCAAAATCTTTGAAGAAGGTAGAGCCACTGCCGGCAGCCTCAAACACGTAAGCCTTGGTTTCAGCATCGTTGAGAAGAGCAGAGTCGGACTGGAAGAGTCCTCTTCTTTTAGCGACGAGCTTGTAGTAGCTTGCGTCGAATGTTCTGTAGCTGCCGGGATCCATCTCAACCTGGGTGGTGGTATCTCCTGGCTGACATGCACTCTTCAACCTTGGAACGTAGTTGGAATCCAACGAGGGGTCAGAGTCTCCTTTTCCGGTGAAATTGTATAAGCGGTTGGTGAAGGAGGGGCAGTGAGATTGCCCAATTGTGTGCCCACCTGCATATTAATTCAACAAGCTCGATCGATCGTCATCTTTTAAGCTAGCTAGCTAGGTTTATTTTCGTAATATATTGTTGATTGATTCCAGTAATGAGTCCTCAAGCATAAAAGCTAAGGATGCTCATGAGTCATGACATACCGGAGAGGACGACTAGGTCTTTCACGCTTAGACCCTTTGACAGGAAGCTTAGCTTGAGGGAGGTGATGTTGAAGAAAGGAGGAGGTAGATTTGCCAAGGACTCCAAGGCCAACGACACTGTTCCATCTCTACGCCCAGTGGGAACATCCCAGAAGGGTCCATTAACCTGGAGAAAGGAAGCCATATATATACTAATTAGTAACAATAATACTGTGTTATAGAATGAAGAAGTTTTAGTCTGAAAGCATTGATGTCTTACAAGTTTGACAGCATCCCTAGCTACCAAGGCAAGTATGTCTGCACAGGAGACCACTCCAGGACACTCTTTCTCCAATCTAGACTTGGCAACATCGACTACAAAGAACCCGTCAAGGCTTTGGTTAGGGATTGCGGTTTTCTCAGGATTAGGGTTGGCAGAAGTGGCATTCAACAGCACCGAACCATCACATCCCTGCACACAGCACACAACAACTTGTTGTCAACAAGTGTTTGATATATAATCACAAAGAAGAGTTGTAAGGAACAAGCTTAGAGATGACACCAAAAACTACGTACCCTGACGAAACAGTCGTGAAAATGCAACCTCAGTAAAGGAGCGGCAAGGGAGGGCAAATGCGTGACGTATTGAGCAGTTGTCCTTCTCACTATTTCCTCCGCCCGTGGGCATGTATCCTTGTAGAACCCTACTTTCAGACCCTGAGCACTGCTGGGGTCAAAGAGGAAGAGCAAAACTAACAATTGACAAAGGAAAACTGAGAGAAGCCTCAGACTAGCCATGTCGATCGCCAGGCAAAAGGATAACAATGGTTTTGATTACTAACTCCCTTGGGTGATGATGAAATGGTATAGACCATAAGCCTTCTTTATATAGAAATTTTTGAATGTAACGGTTGTCACCCATTGATGTAAGAGCTGTCATCATAAGGCTCAACTCTTATATATTGTTTAGTAGACAGTTTGCAAATTGAATAATTTAATGGTGGTTTGAGATTTGATATTTTCTAAGAGAAAAGCAAAGCAGTTGACTCACCTATTTTATTTTAAAAGGAAAATAGACTACAGGAAACCTTGGTTCATGCATTGCTGTCGCTACTCACTCCAGATCGCCTACACTTGCGCCTGATAAAAGGCATTCACTAACAAATGAAAATTCATCAAGATTCACCGGGACCCATTCGCACTCACGTTTACGCCTGATAAAAGGTATTCACTAACAAATGAAAATTCATCAAATCCCCCTGCCAATTTTGATGAATTTTCATCGTTTACTGGTAAGGTGTATCTGGACTGGTTACAACTAAGCATTAAAGTATTGGTATTTGGACAATTTGGATATAGAAACACATGAATATGCTAAGAAAATGCATACAAATTGCATAAATATATTAATAGCATTAAGTTTAATGTCAAAAACAACTATAAATAATATATAAATATATATGAATTGTATATTTAAATGATATATATATATATATATATATATATGAAAAATATATTCTAATTAATATACCAGGACATGTAGATATTATACAGTTTTATTAATAATGCATCAATCAAGAGTCTAAGGAAAATATTATATAGATTTTACAAATTAATACATACAAAAAGCCAATGTTATTTTATTATCTATTAAAGTGTAAGCATAAAGCATATGCAATTATTATATTTGAATTATTATACCGTTTTTTCTATTTTCTATTTTTATTTTTTAATTTTAACAAAAAATTCAACTAAAAAATTAATTCTTAAATTTTTGGTAAATAATATTTATATTTTTGTAAACAATAAATATGCTATTATAAAATGTAAATTAAAATATCAATTAATAATTTATAAAAATATATAATCTTAACTTAAAATATATCAAATCTATTAAAACTTTGAAAATGCATATCATATGAAAATTCATGAATTTTAATTACTAAAATAATTATTCCATTATTAATATTTTATTTTTATAAAATTTTGAAGTTAAATATTATTTTTTATATAAAATGTAGATTAATGATTTGATAGATTCTATTTATATTGTATTTTCAAATACATTGTAAACAATACTTTTATTTTTTTAAATAATAAATACATTGTTATTTAATGCAAATTAAAATTTTCATTAATACTTTATAAAAATTTAAGATATATACCATATGCAAATTTATAAAACTTAAGTATTAAAATAATTATTATATTATGAATATTTTATTTGTATAAATTTTTTAAATTAAAATTCATTTTTGATATATATATATATGTGTGTGGATTTTATAAATTATCTTTTACATTGTTTTATAAAACACTAATTTTGAATATTGTTCTTTTTAATTTATAGTTGAAGTTTTTTAAAATAAATGTATGTTGTTTTTTGTTTGCATGTAAACATTAAGTTCAATAAAAGTTATTTTATTACACTTATTAACATGAAATAACAAATGACTTTGTGATTAATGCACATTTGTGCTTAGGCATTGGCCAATTTGGGTTTGTGTCGCACTCCTGTTTTTTTTTATTATTATGAGATGCTGCATCATTTGTCGAAACCATGATCGATATGCTTCTGTATTGGGCGTATCGTGTCGATATTTTAATCCTTGGTTACAACTAGAACAAAATCATGCTTGAACAATGGACAGGTTGGTTCCCTGTCTTATGGTTCGAGAAAACATTTCTTCACTGGTTTTAAGACTGTAGGTTGATGTGGGCAAGAGAACAATAGAATAGAAGAACAAGAGAAACCAATATCCTTTAGGCTGTGTTTGGTTTGAAAGAAAAAATAAGGAAACCTGGTCAAAAGATAATATAGGCTCCAGATTTCCCTTTACCTTTTCCTTATTTTTCCTATCTTTTATCTTTCAAACCAACCACAGTGATATGATAATCATCTTTAGTCCTCCACATGAAGGTTTTAAAAACTGAACCGGAACAGGAACCACTTTGGTGACTGGTTTCTTGGTCAGTAGTTCAATCATCTGATTTGAATGGACAGTCCATTCCAATTTAAATTATAATTAATTAAAAAATAATTAAAATAAAAAATAATTAAAATTTATTATTTGAATTAAACAAGTCAACGATTCAACTACCTAAAATAATGGGTCATTAACCAAGTCAACAGTTTTTAACTAAAGATTGGATTTAAGATTGCCTAAACAATTCCCTAGCTGAACGATCTAACACTGCTCTACATATAATATATACATGCATAAATAAAAATTAAAATATAAGAGAGAAATTAAAAGGCTCTAAGAGTTGTTATAGACTTCCGAATACATGCACAGAGTGCATGTTCACAATAAGCTATTTATAGAAAAGAAGAATCCAATAAGAGATGCACATAATACTATAATAGGTTCATTTATATGAAGAATCTGTTTTATTGTAAACCAGAAGTTCAATTTGCCGTCTCACATTTAAAATTAACACGTGGCTATTTCTTTTGACCATTTTCGAGTCTGCAGAAAAAAAAAAAACAATAAAAGAGGGAATCTACTCAGTACCTATGAACCACTCACAATGCAAGGTCGCATCCCCTCAGGATCACGTAGAGTGCCCTTAAACACTGATTGGTTGAAAAGGGAGATCCGATCTAAGGACTAAATTTCTATTTCTGAATTGACCTCAACTTACTATATATACATATTACGACTGATGCTCCAAGGGCCCGTTTCTGATGTATAGTTATTGAGATACATAAACAGATAAGACCACGTTGGGAGATTGAGTCTGAATTGATAGAACAATAACGTGTTAGTTGGGGTCACGTTTTGAGTGGTCGATCTTTAAGTAGTACCATACCAACGTAATTAGATGTTATTGATGAAGGAAGATTTGGTCCGACCTTGCAATCCCGTCATGTGGCAAAAAACAAGTAGCTCAGCACTTAAAGCAACATACCCAGAGTGCAAATACCAAAGGGAAGAGACCAGTAGACCGAACTCCCCTCGAGGAGACCAACTCCCTAAGACGAACCCGAATTCCCTACAAGGGGCCCGAACTCCCTAAAAGGAGCCCGACCTCCCTAGTAAGAGCTTGAACTCCCTACTAAGAGCCCGAACTCCCTACGAGGAGCCCGAACTCTCCCTTTGGCCCCAGAACCCCCCTAACAGCCAGGCCTCGTCCCTAGGCCGAAGAGAGAGAAAAATCATCCCCACCTCGCAGCTCGCAGGCGGGTCGGGAACCTTGCCCGCAAGATCGGCACATCGGCACTCCAAGCCCGAGTTCCCGCTCACGGAAAACTGATTCGGCGCCCTGGTAGCAGACTACCAGCATTCCGGGCCCATCGACCTCGGCAACACGGAGAACAGCAGCGCCAGTACCAGGCCCACTCAACAACGAAGGCGCCGGCGAAGTCGCCGAACTGCCACCCGTGTCTTGTCAGAGCTCAGAGGCAAAGAAGAGACGAGCTCGAACGAGGTAGGAGTTGCCCCGATTCTCTCAGTTCCTTCCCCCCTCGCATCAGAACTCCTGGCGATCCCCTTGCCCAGAGATTTCAA